AACCCTTTGGAGGGGCTGCAGGAGAGAAGCCTTCTCACCTCCACAGTCCCCTTTGGCTCCATCAGGACAGAGGAGCCTCGGGTCTGGTGCCAAGAATGCAGGTGAGAGCCAAGGAGGGCACCCCATGCATCCCACCTGGCCAGCGCTCAGCCGCTATATCACTGAGGCAGCACCCAGAAGGGTGGGCAGTGCTGGGCATGCCCCTCAGCCCACCCTGAGACCCCCAGAGAACCACGGCTGGCTTCCCTGTACAAATCTAGTCCATAAAGAGGTGCCCAACTCAGGGCCAGACCAACACATGCAGCAAATCAAAACCAGATTAATAAACCACTAGCATAGTTTGAGAGGGGGAAACACTAATGAGATTTATTTTTAATTAGTCTCTGAACTTTAGTGCCTCCAAGTTTTCATGAGTGAGGTTGCTTATTATATTTCTCTAAAATGGTCATTCCTGAGACAACAGGCACCCCCTGGGAAACCTGACACACAGGTGGGTCATCACATGGGGTGTTACACCCTCCTGGGGCTTGTGGGGAATGCACACCCCTCCAGCCTTTCAGGAACTGATCAGCGCCTGCCTACCTCCTGCACAAAACAGACACACTGGACCCTTCAGAGTATCCCCAAGGTAGTACCTGGAGGAGGGGGTAGTGAGGGAACGGATGGAGTACCTTTGCAGGCAGCCAATAAAGAAATGACTGGCTGGCCTTGGTCAGGGGCAACCTGGGGGCATCCCTGCCTCCTGTTGCATGGTGTGCCTAAGTGCTTGCTGATGCATCTCTGAGGTGGTTAATTTTATGCATCAGCTTGACAGGGCCAAGGGCTGCCCAGATATCTGGTCAAACACTATTCTGGATGTGTCTGTGAGGGTGTTTCTGGATGAGAGAAACATTTGAATAGTAGACTGAGAAAGCAGATTGCCCTCCCCAGTGTGGGTGGGCCTCATCCAATCCGTGGAAAGCTTGAATAGAACAAATCTGAGTAAGGGAGCTCTCTCTTTGAGCTGGGACTCCATCTCAGACTGGGACTTATACCATCAGCCTTCCTGCTTCCCAGGCCTTTGCACTCAGCCTGGAACTTATACCATCCACTCTCTGGGGCCTCCAGCTGACCAGCTGCAGATCATGGGACTTCTCAGCCTCCATAATCAAGTGAGCCAATTCCTTATAATAAAGGAATTTATTCTCTCTTTCTCTCTGTCTCTCTCTCTCTATATGTATATATATATATTGATGTGTATATATACACAGATGTGTATATATATGTATAGATATATATTTGTATATATATGTATATTGATGTATCTATATATGTATATGTATATAGATATGTATATATGTATAGACATGTGTATATATTTGTATATAGATGTGTATATATGTATATAGATACGTATGTATATGTATATAGATATGTATATATGTATATGTACATAGATGTGTATACACACACACACACATGCACACACACGCACACTGTTTCCCTGGAGAACCCTAACTGACAAAGTCTCCTTACTGACTGGCTCTGAATGCCAATCACCGGCAGCGTACTCCAGAAGACAAATCGCACACGTCCAGTGATTGGGTCCTAATCAGCCCAGCTTTCAAAGAGGAGAGAAGTTCAGCCTTCCCTGTGTGGGCAGCAATCAACGTCTGCCCTGCAGGAGCCGGAGAGGGGCAGCCCCTAGGATGTGAGGGTACGTGGGTGCCTCCCCTCCATCACGCATGGATCTGGCTGGAGCTTGGGCGACAACAGAAACGTTCTTGCTACCTGCAGGCTCTGCCCAGCCCCCAGGTGTTCAAAGCAACCTGACTGGTGCATCTGCTCAGAACCTCTCTAACAGACAGGTGTTAGGAGAAGAGCAGTAACTGAGTTAATGTCGTGGAGTTAATAACGGAAAGTGTTTTCATCAGAGTTGACGCTATACGATCAAAACTTCCCATAGAGATGGAGTAGGACAGAAAGACACAGAGAATGCTCCACCTCATATCCTGACCAATTAAAATATATTTATCACACATTGGATTTTTAATGTGCTCGTATGGGTCCATTATAGAAAAACTTCAAAAGATGGCATTCTGGAAAACAACTCTTCTATTTTGGAGACTGCTGTCCTCTGGCCATGTCACTGGGAAATACAAAACCGCAAAGAGAAAGGGGAAGGCAGTACAGGACATCTCCACAACTGGGGCCCCTATTAACTCATTCATTAACAAACCACTTGATTTTGATTTTTAATTACACGTAATCTACACTTTTATATTGTCATAATGGATGTTTTACTTTGGTGATTTATAACGTGTAACACTTTCTGTTCTGTTCAGAAGCGCAAGTGTAAGCATTTTCCAACTTCTTTGTTCTTTGATGAAAGGAAATTGATCTTTATCTGGTTACCATTCTGCCTTTTACACGCTGCAAATTCTGTTTCCGAGGAGGGCTGGTGGTGTGATGTTTCCATGGCTTCTTTCATTTTCACCCTTATTCTGGGAAGTTTCTGGAATACCTCTGTCCGTGGCCTTGTCTTGCTTTTCTCTGTGTCTCCAAAGACTATTGATCACAAACTTCGGGAAGTTTGTGACGCAAAAGAAGCAGAAGTTTGGAAAAACATAATCTTTCTCGAGCTTTAAAATTTCTAAAAACAGTATCCATTTGTTTCTACCCAGGTTCAGCAAGACTTCTTTCTGCCAGCTTCAGTCCTAATTTACCGAGAATATTCTGTGGCGTTTCCACTCGAACCACAGGCAAGCTGATGGGGGTGGGGGCCCCCAGGGTCGGCAGAGCTCCTGGTTGGGAGGCACTGCCCCTTTCCTTCCAGACCCACACTCCCCGGCAGGGCCGGCCTCACCTGTTGTGAGCCATCACGCACCTGGGAAACCTGGCCCAGGAGCCTATATCCACATCACATGAAAGGGAAGTACCCCAGCACCCACCTGGCCAGGTCTCCACACTCCTGTAGGCAGTGAGACCGTGGGTGCCCTGGTGGACTGTCTCCCATGTCTGACGGTCTGTGGGTCCCTCCCAACCACCACAACACTAGGGGACCCGGCTCCAACCTGGGGAGGAAAGTGGAAATCACCATGATCTGAGAAAGCTGAGCTGCCTCGCCTTGAGCCCCATCACTGGGAAGAGCTTACTGAGAAGGGAACATTGGTGCCAAACTCTGAAGGTGAGGGTGCAAGCTGGTGACCTATCTTACAGAGAAGTGCAAAGGCCCTGAGGCAGGAACTAAGGGACTCCTCACGAAGCTCCTGTGGAAGGGTCTTCCATCCATAACCAGGAATCTAGCACCTGCAGCCTGGCTGCCACGCTGTGGCTTCTGACCAGCTCACGTGTGCAGGGTGCCTTTCCCAAAGGATCACAGGTTCCCTAGGGAAGGGTCCACGTTCCCCACTGCACTTGTCCCCTCTGTGCTACCCGTCACAGGGCAGGCATTGCAGGAGTAGGGTCACTCACTTATTTGTTCTGTCATTCAACCTCTCAAATAAATGTACCATGCCCCCCTGTAAGCTGCAGTTTACTGCAAGGTGCTCTTGTAGGCCCCGGGGTTCTACAGCAATTAAATAGATGGATAATATTACACCTTCACATTCTACTTGGTGGAAGACAGACAACACAGAAGGAAATGAACAACTGAACTGAACAAGATAATTTCAGAAGGTGTTAAGTCTATGGAGAAAATAAAGCAGGGGCATGAGGGATATTTCAAGCAGCGTAGTCATGCAGTCTCTCTGAAGAGATCACATGACGCTAAGCCCCCAGTGACCACCTGGAGGAAGAACATTCCAGGTGGAGGGGGCAGTAGGTGCAGAGGTCCTGCGGCAGAAGCAAGCACTCTGCACTGGAGGAATAGGAAGAAGGCGATGGGGTCGCAGGGTGGTGATAAGGGTGAAGATGGGCAAGATGGGTCAGGTCCCGTGGACCCTGGAGAGTGAGCAAGCTTGGCGCGTAATTTTAGGAGACCCCTCTTTGCCCTGGGGTGACCCCATGAGAGAAGTGCTCCAGGACAGGGAGGGACAGTGGTGATGCCCAACTGCACCCAGGCTGAGAATAAAGACAGCAACCCATCCCACTGCCACCTGTCCTCAGGGCTCCTCTGGGTGTCAGGGAGATTTGCAGGCACAGGTGAGGGTCCAGGTGAGGGCTCCTTGTCTTTAACCACATGCTGCACATGAGGCCCGTACACACTAAATATCCCTCACAACCCTAAGCTTTATTGATTCCTTGGGAAACAGACCACAATTATTTTTGAAAATAGATGGCATATTTGTCTATCCTCTGAAGCAGCTCACACTCCAATAGATAAAGTGTCAGGAGAAAAATCAAAGAAAATGGAGGTGTCCATATGTCAGGGAGATTTTTTTTGTATTGGCAATGTGCAAACAACTAGCAGAAAAGCTCACAAGAACCATGACCGAGAGACAAGACAGAGAGACCAAGAGAAGCCCTCACCTCGAGGGGCTCGGACAACGCCCTAACAGGGGAAGTGACCACAGTGGTCCAGTGGCTTGGTTAAGAGCATCTCGATTTTCCTTTTGAGGAGACCCAGTGGAGAGCCACCCACCCTCCTCTCCATCTATCCAGTCCCAGGTGCGGGCACGTAACCCCAGCTGGGCCAGAAGCCAGCCTGCCTTCAAAGATGTCCTACATGCCCTTGTATATTTAGAGTTTGAGCTGGGTTCTCATCATCTGCACCTGAAAGAGCTCCTGGTCCATGTGAGGATGTGGGAGGTGCCTACTTCAGTGCAGCAGAAGGATGCCATCAGCAGAAGGCCACAGGGCCTCGGACAAAGCATCATCATCCCAGGCCTGGACCATGGGAGATCCATGTCCACATGTCCACGTGTCATTCAGCAGGGTGAGTATGCAGTAAAGAACTGGGTCGTTAGGGTCGGTTCAGACCCACACAATGGTGCACGGATAGGCCCACAGAGGGTGGAACTAGGACAGGAGCATGGCAGCCCTGGGCCTCCTCCTTTGAGCTGTGCACCCGGCTCCCTCACCTGTGTGTATCCTCAGGTGGACCTTTAGGTGATGGGATGTCCGGAAGGTTTTCCCACAGTACGGGCAGTCCTTCATGGCCGAGCCCAGGCTCCTGTCTCGAAGCAGTGCGGGCTGCTGGACGCCGGCAGATCTCCCAGCCTCCTCTCCAATGTCTGCAATGGAGGAGAAATGTTCTCACGTCACTTCAGCACATGTCAGAAGCTGTTCGCACCAAAACTGCCAACACCACACAAGGCTACACATGTCAATACTACACCTGTCTATTTCATTCTTTAAATCTGACAGAATGCTGACAATTCACGTATTTTCTTGTTATTCTCTTAAATTATTTCATCTTTCCTATCGTCATTTTAAGCAGCATATGGTACCTTTATATTGAACTGAATTAAACAAGAAAAGAAACAGCTGTGTCAGCAGCTGGTTTGATTTCTTCTTTTGCTTAGCTCCTATTAAACATTTTTTTTCAAAAGTTTAAAAATGTTGGTGGTTGTTGAGTCTGATTAATTTATAATATGGACTAGCTGGAGAGTTTGCTATAGGATCAAAATCACATTTGCATTATATCAGGCAACAAATGAAGAAAAATGTGTCTCGGCTGAGTCCCCAAGACATGCAGACGTACAGCTATTTTGGGACAGGAAAGAAAATTATCCCAAACTGATCATTTCTTCCTTGTAGAGTCTTGCCTCCATCGCTGGCTGGTGTAATCTCATGAAAGGGAGAAGAAAAAGTATGGAAATGTGGTTCCACAATTAGCCCATGATAAACATATAGTGACATATTCAAAGTCATGTGCAGAAACTCAGCTGCAAAACTCCCATAAACTTAGAGCACTGCAGTTAGATCTTTGTGCAGTGACCTGAGAACTTCCTCTGTAAAGTATCAATACAAATTTTCCTTCCTGCTGTTATTTGTTATGTAACCCAAACCACTAGAAAATGGAATAAAATTTACATACGGCTGTCTTCTGCACAGAAATGATGGGACATAATAGTAAATGAAACTGTGAAAATATCTAGTGGTTGGAGGATATGTTATTGCAACACCCGAGGCCTGACATCACGTTGTCACAGAGGCGACATCAGGGGAGCAGGGCAGGAGCTGGGACTCTGCATCTCGAGAAGGGGAGGCAGGCAAGCCTTCTCCTGTGGCCTCCCCGCAGGGCTGGAGGCTGCCGCCTGGCACATAACCCAAGCTCCCGAGGCTGGCAGGGTCCTGGCCGCAGCTTCCGGCCCACCCTCTAGGCCTCCTGGTAGATTTCACCATGAGAACGAGGGGACCTTCTGGGATAATAAGCAGACCTGTGAGTTCTGCAGAGAGCAAAAAAAACCAAGATTTGTACCTTCCAAGCAATGGAAAATGCAAATTGCTTTTATTCGTCAACATCCGTTCCTGGTGTTCTCTGCTCACAGCCAAAAGGGACAGACTTATAGGCCATGAACAAGATGAAGGCAGTCGCACTTAATTCTTATTTGGATGTTTGCTCGGCGCAACCGTGGAAACCCTTTGGCTTCGAGTATCCTCTCTGAATTTGGACTGTGCACAATGGCATCATCACCCTAGAAATTTTCCTTGAAGGCTCACTTTTAATCCTATTCTCCACAACTCTTCTAACCATCTTTGGAAGAGCTGTTCAAAAGGTCTAACTGCCCAGCTTTTTTTTTTTCCTCGTAATTTTACACAGGGAGGGGGACTCAGTTCATCCACATCTAGAACTCACTCGACCTAGCACTAGCTTTGTGGTTGTCCACATGACTGTGGAGAGACTACCAAAGATGGCTATTGGGCTGCTGATAAGGGAAAACAGGCACAAGAGAGTGTTGCCAGGTCACGGCAAACAAATGTCCCACATGCAGTCCTAGCAGGAAGTCCCTGCCCGCAGGTCAAGTCCACCAGGGCTGCCACCACCTCTGTCTTAAAGAGCCAGTTTGCCGAGAGCCCAGGAGAACAATGGCCAGACGCCAGATGTCAGATGCCAATTCCAAGTCAGCCGCATCCTAGTTATAAACAGCTGAGAGGCCACCTCTTACCCATCTCCCTCCACCACCCCCAAAAGCCACACCAACCCCAAACCTGTTGCATTTGCCCTCCCAGCATTATTCATTCCTTTTGTGGGATCATGAGGTCAGCTTAAAATAACAACGAGCCTGATTAAAATTCTGCCCAAGTGCTCCCTGCAACAGGGTTAAGTCACCCTATTTAAGTTAGGAGGCCATGAGCTGTCCATTTGAATGATGAGCACAACTTAAGTGTTGACTTCAGGACAGGAGTAGGCAGGTGTGGGCTTTTGATGTTGCATCCCTGCCCGTCCTCGTGTCCCACGGTCTGCAGCTGAGCACCTTCCCCAGATCCTCCTCCGTCGGAGCCCCTGGGGAGCAGTCCAAGGCAGGGCTGTCCAACAGAGGAGAATAGAGAGTGTGGGGAACATATTTCCACTGCAGCTTTTGGTGAGCCCCGGCCCAGGGCACGATACAGATAAATAGACAGATAAGGCCGCTGCCCTGCGCTCCCGCCGGCTTTACAGAAGGTGAGGATGAGCTGTGTCTCACTATATGTCACTCTAAGCAATGGCCTGTATCTGTTTTCCTTTTATCTTTCTATCTTGGATATGTGTGGCCCAATAAAAAGAATGAATTTGTAAGATAAACAGCTTTCTTTGCAGATTTCAGAGTCTAATTTTCACTTTACATAGAATGTTTTTTCTGTTTTTGTTTTGTTTTGTTTTTTTGGAGGACCAGAAGGCCTATGGCGTTTACTCTTAGACTAATCCAACTAGAAAAACAAACTTGGGCAATGATGAAGGGGAATTGTGGGTGGTCCCAGGAAGTGCCCGGAGAGGCTGAAAGCCAAGTACAGTCAGTCAGTGACGGCAGAGGAAGGCCGGCTGAGCCGCAAACTCACAGGGCCTGTGTGTGGGTCCCTGCCTACACCTGGATGGGTATCGAGGAACAAGGTGCACTAAACTGAGACCAGCCCTGCTGAGAACTCAAGGGGCTCGCTCAGAGGGGAAGACGAGGCTGCTCTCCGATTCCTTCTCTACCCGCCCAGAGTGTAAAAGCACTAGCAGCTGTCCTGCAAGGCTCCCCAGATGGAGTCCCGAGGCTCTGCCTGTGGCCACACACAGCTGGCCGGGGAAGAACCACGGGTCCTGCTTATGGACAGACCAGCCCTTCCCCAGCCCTTCCAGGAAACAACGACAGAAAGGAAGAAGCATTATAAAAATGACACCTGTGGTCCTTTGTCAGGCCGTTTTTGGATTGGTATGAGCTTTTAAAAAAAATTTCCTTTTCCTAAAATCTGCAGTATCTCTTCCCTCTGATCAGACACTTTCTCTAAATGTGTTGAGGACGCTGAAGGTGGGCGTGTGAACAGAGGTCGGCCTCAGACCCACTGGCTGTTCCTCCTGCTTCTCTGTGAAAGGAGCGCTGCCAGCTCCTAGAGGCTGGGGTGTCCCTGAGAGTTGGGGCATCCGGCTACAGGCAACACAGCCTCAGCCTGGGTGTGCTCTGGCTCTCATAGGATGGGGAAAGGGATGAGAAATAACTCCTGGGACCCTTGTTTCTTTTCTTGACCCCACTAAATAATATGGGATCTATTCTTCAGGAATGGATGTCTTATATATGGTGGCAGCAAATAGTATTCCAGAGGAACATAGACTATACATGCAACCCTTCCCAAGTTTCAGCCTAGAACAGTTGAATTGTAGTAGGTATCAAAAACTCTGCAAGCTTTCTCCTGTTCCTACAAGCTGAGAGTGGTTAGATAAAAAAGAGGACATGGATCCAATCATTTCAAGTCTTGTTTCAAGAATTTAGGAGGTTTCTCAAAAAACTAAAAATAGAACTACTGTATGACCCAACAATTGCATTCCTGGGTATATATCCAAAAGAAACAAAAACACTAATTGGAAAAGATACATGCACCCCAATGTTCATAGCAGCATTGTTTACAATTGCCAAGATATGGAAGCAACCTAAGTGTCCATCAACAGATGAATGGATAAAGAAGATGTGACACACACACATACACACACACACACACACACATATATATATATAATGGAATACTACTCAGCCATAAAAAAGAGTGAAATTTTGCCATTTGCAACAACATGGATGGACCTGGAGGGTATTATGCTAAGTGAAATAAGTCAGACAGAGAAAGACAAATACTGTATGTTATCACTTACATGAGGAATCTAAAAAATACAACAAACTACTGAATATAAAAGAAACAGACTCACAGATATAAAGAACAAATCAGTGGTTACCAGTGGGGAGGGGAAGAGGGAGGGGCAATATAGGGGTAGGGAACTAAGAGGTGTAAACTATTAGGTATAAAATAAGCTACAAGGATATATTGTACAACATGGGGAATACAGCCAATATTTTATAATCACTATAAATGGAGCATAACCTTTAAAAATTGTGAATCACTATACTGCACACCTTATATATAACGTATATAACTTATATAATATTGTATTTCAACTACACTTCAATTTAAAAAAGATATATTATTTGGGGGTGGAGGACATCAGACAACTGACCTTCCTAATTTTGTCATCTCAAGGTCAGAAACCATGCCTCCTACATTTCCATTTGCTGCTTCTAAGCCTCTGAGTGTATAGCAAGGTTGGCCTAGGCCAAGGTGACATTAAAGTTCATTACCTTCCCTGAGAATTCACAGAGGGAGGGTAGGAGGGAGGTTCCATAGCTGTGGGCTGAAGGACGGGCCGGGGGATTAAAAATGGTCATGGAGGGCTTCCCTGGTGGCGCAGTGGTTGACAGTCCACCTGCCGATGTAGGGGACACAGGTTCGTGCCCCGGTCCGGGAAGATCCCACATGCCGCGGAGCGGCTGGGCCCGTGAGCCATGGCCGCTGAGCCTGCGCGTCCGGAGCCTGTGCTCTGCAACGG